TATAAAACAAGACATTTCTTCAGGATAAATGACAAACAATTGAGCGATCTAACTTTAGACTTATCTAACTTTAGACTTATCTAACGTTGACTTATTGCACCAGCTAAGGGAAGATGTCCCTAAGTGGTAGCTGCACGGATGAAATGTATATATTTTTTTATATTTATTGAAGTAAACGTCTTCTCTCTGCAGAGCTATAATCGTCCGTCGCTGTTTCTTCATGATCGGGACCCTGTACCTGTACCGCTGCGTCACCATGTACATCACCACGCTGCCGGTGCCGGGGAAACACATGGTCTGCGCCCCAAAGGTACAAATACACAACATCCTGTACATTTACTGCATGTTTACCTGTTCGCTCCTTACAGTATGTTCTGCTTCCTGCAGCTGTACAACGACTCAACGGGGAAGATCTGGAGGATTCTGAGTCTGATCTCAGGAGGAGGTAACACCCCAACACTCAACTTTAAAAATATACAATATACAGCTTTATTTATAACTTTAAAACCTCCAGGCCAAAGTGCTGTACAGTCAAATAAACAAACACACGTACTCAAATCACACACCATAAAACAAGTACAAGTAAAAACAATAGGCAGTTTAAAAGCAACAATCTACTAGATGTCAAAATGCTGAGGAGAAGCGGTGGGTTTTAAGGAGCGATTTAAACGCAGACAGTGCGGAGGCCCGTCTGATTGCAGGGCAGATCATTCTGGCTAAAGACTGGTCAAACTTTTCCACTGATTTTGTTGTGTTGTTTCTGTTTGTTTGTTGTTTAGGTTTGTCTCTGACCGGCTCTCAGCTGATGTGCGGTGACTTCCTGTACAGCGGTCACACCGTCATGTGTACGCTGTCCTACCTCTTCATCAAAGAGTGTGAGTACACACACTTTATCGCCATTTATGAAAGCAAACTGCATACATGTCCATTACTCAATTTAATGAGATAGTTTGTGAGAAATTAGTCAGAAAAACTTTGTGAATCTTTCAATATTACTTATAAAGTCAATCTTGAATTAAAAAGGAAGTAATGAAACGGGCTTAGAGGCATGTTCATGTATTTCAAAGTGGACCTTTCCTTTAAAACGGTGAAACACAGGACCGTGTTTGGTAAGAAAAGCAGTCCGTTTTCTTCTTTCTGTGCAACCAGTCAGATTACATACACACTTCGGGATGTTTGGTTTACGCCAGACGGGTTGGACTTTTTAAACAGCAGGCGGATTGATGTCGTTACCAGAATGAAAGTATTTGGAGACGTGACATCCACCTTCGATCTCAGTCCGCTGATTATTTCAAGCAAGCAACTGTCTATATTCAAATACTAACATCTGTATTTATGTACACATCAACGTCTCGCGTCAAAACCAAAAATAATCTTCACACGTCCATAGTGTGATGTACAGCAGTGCTACGTCCAGGAACATGTGTGTGTGTGTGTTTCAGACTCTCCCCGGTGGATGTGGTGGTATCGATGGATCTGTTGGTGCCTCAGCGCCTCGGGGGTTCTCTGCATCCTGATTGGTCACGAGCACTACAGCATCGACGTGGTGGTCGGGTACTTCGCCACCACCAGGACCTTCTGGTGGTACCACACCATGGCCAACACACATGTAGGTTCACACACACACGAAACTATTAACTATACCAGCGGTTTTCAAAGTGTGAGGCGCTCCTCCCTGGGGGGGAGGACGGCCGGCTCGGTTCGCTGACGGCCGGCACCGCCCTTTATTTGTCATGTTTTTAAACGGCATCATTGAAGTTGCGCTGACAGACGACAGAGGTCCGTTCAGCGGGCCGTTTCCACGCAGCGAGGCTCCCCCCCCCCCCCCCCCGTTGACTAGCATGCTCTACCAATTTGTGTGGGCTGGGCTGGGTGAGATTCCAGGGCTGGTTTTTAGTCCCAGTCCGCCCCTGCCTCCACCTACCTTCTTCTTCTTTCGTGTAACGTCAGAGGTCCAACTCGGTGTCGTGTAGCCATGCCCGCATCTCTGGTCCTAAGTCGAAGAGGCTGGCTTCCGAGGGTGGTCTATATAAAAGGCAGGTGGTGATTATGTGTTCGGCAGTCTGTTCAGGGTCACCGCACTCACATGCAGCACTGTCTGCCAGGCCCCACTTCTTCATTGATGTTTTGAAGCGACTGACCCCAGTTCGTAGGCGGTTTAGTGTGGTCCATTGCCGGCGTGGTAGGTCATCTCCTCCTATGGCGCCATCTCCTGGGTCCCAGATGTAGCGATGCTTCCAAGCAGCCGCCAACCATGCATCTCTGGAGAGGTCCTCAGAGGTGGAATCGAGAATCTCTTGTGCTGCCTTGTCCACCTACCTGTGTGAGTGCGGGTTTTCCGCATTGACTTTGATCAAAAGTAAGTGCCGGTCAAGGCTTTAGCCAGAGGATGATCTGCGTTTATTCCCGTCTACATTGCATCCCCGCTTCATCCGCCTCTGCGCATCAAAGACGCAGACTCATTGTTCCCACTAAAGTAGGGCTGAGTGTAATAAGGAGGCAAAGTTGACGTTCAGTGTGTTGCCGGGAGCATAAGGATTTATCCGCCATGTTGAAAATGTTAAAAAAATAAAAATAAAAACATAAAGATAAAATATGTTTTTAAAAGTTATTGTTTAATGTTTTAAGGAGGTGACGCTACTCAGCCAATCAAATTGGTGCAGTCAGTGAGTCAGCGCGATAGATTCAAACACAGAGACAAGAGAAGTCGACAGTCGGAGTCATTTCAAATGGCAGAAGGTCGACAGTGAAAACAGAGCATTTAATGACATGTTCTCTTACTGGACCTCTTTGAAATGCAATTGAATACCCCTGCATTATAGCAGCAACAACAATAATAGCAATAATAATTGGGAGAGGGGGGGGCGCTGCTGTTCTTATGTTCTCTGAGAGGAGGCTCACCTTCCCACACTTTGAAAACCCCTGAACTATACAGTTGCAGGTACATTTTTTATGTTTACTAATCAATTAATGGCTAAGTTCTTGTAATTGTAATCACTGAAGCCCTTCGTCTACTTATATGTAATTCTAAGGGCTTGTTAACATATGATATGTTATTTTTGAAATAGCTCAAATGTTTTATAGAAAATAAATAACATTAAAACAACTTTTTTATATATGTTTTACCTAAAGTTGTGATTATTCTTGCAATAAATTAAATGTTTATCTCATTAAAAAAAACTAAACTAAAGACATTAAAAAAGTAAAACAACTTTTAAGACAACAAATACAACAATCTTATTTTGGGCAAATAGACACAATCAAATATGGTGCTTTTTAAGAATCTGAAACCAGTAAAGTGTTATTTTTGATTACGTATTCGTGATTATTTTAGCAATTAAATAAAAATAAATTGCCAATAAAATGTCCAAAGAAAACCTAAAATAAAAACAGTAAAACAACTTTCAAGACATATTTTTAAAAAAAAACATATACCTCATTATTTTATTCAAAATAGTCTTAAAGGTGACATGTCATGCTTTTCCGGTTAGTACCCGTCCCCTTGTTGTTATGAAGGTTTTCATGCATGTAAACGGTGTGCAGAGTCAAAACCCTCAAAAACACAGAAAATACCTCCCAAAACTTCTCGTTGGAGAAACGTCACTGTCCATTTGATTCTTCCGGGTACATCATGATGTCATGTCGTCCCCGGAACGAAATGGACCCATTCTCTCTGCAGCCGTTACGTTACGTCCGCGGAGCCGTTACGTTAAGCCCCCGCTGATTGGTCCAATTGACCAATCCACAGACTTCCTCACACACTCAGTGCAAGCAGCTCTGCTGATCTCTCCTCCCGGGCTGCAGGCTGATAACAGACAGTTGGGATCGCGGCGGCAGACCCATTCTCTCTGCAGACCCGTTCTCTCTGCAGACCCATTCTCTCTGCAGACCCGTTCTCTCTGCTGACCCGTTCTCTCTGCTGACCCGTTCTCACTGCAGACCCATTCTCTCTGCAGACCCATTCTCTCTGCAGACCCATTCTCTCTGCAGACCCATTCTCTCTGCAGACCCGTTCTCACTGCAGACCCATTCTCTCTGCAGACCCGTTCTCTCTACAGACCCATTCTCTCTACAGACCCATTCTCTCTGCAGAGCCATTCTCTCTACAGACCCATTCTCTCTGCAGACCCATTCTCTCTGCAGACCCATTCTCTCTGCAGACCCATTCTCTCTGCAGACCCGTTCTCACTGCAGACCCATTCTCTCTGCAGACCCGTTCTCTCTACAGACCCATTCTCTCTACAGACCCAATTCTTCTCTGCAGACCCTTCTCTCTGCAGACCCGTTCTCACTGCAGACCCATCTCTCTGCAGGACCCGTTCTCTCTGCAGACCCGTTCTCTCTGCAGACCCATTCTCTCTGCAGACCCGTTCTCTCTACAGACCCATTCTCTCTGCAGACCCATTCTCTCTGCAGACCCGTTCTCTCTACAGACCCGTTCTCTCTACAGACCCATTCTCTCTGCAGACCCATTCTCTCTGCAGACCCATTCTCTCTACAGACCCGTTCTCTCTACAGACCCATTCTCTCTGCAGACCCATTCTCTCTGCAGACCCATTCTCTCTGCAGACCCGTTCTCTCTACAGACCCATTCTCTCTGCAGACCCATTCTCTCTACAGACCCATTCTCTCTGCAGACCCATTCTCTCTGCAGACCCATTCTCTCTACAGACCCGTTCTCTCTGCAGACCCATTCTCTCTACAGACCCGTTCTCTCTGCAGACCCATTCTCTCTACAGACCCATTCTCTCTCTGCAGACCCATTCTCTCTACAGACCCATTCTCTCTGCAGACCCATTCTCTCTGCAGACCCATTCTCTCTGCAGACCCGTTCTCTCTGCAGACCCATTCTCTCTGCAGACCCATACTCTCTGAACCTTCTCTCTGCAGACCCGTTCTCTCTGCAGACCCGTTCTCTCTGCAGACCCATTCTCTCTGCAGACCCGTTCTCTCTGCAGACCCATTCTCTCTGCAGACCCATTCTCTCTGCAGACCCGTTCTCTCTGCAGACCCATTCTCTCTGCAGACCCGTTCTCTCTGCAGACCCGTTCTCTCTGCAGAACCCGTTCTCTCTGCAGGACCCGTCTCTACTGCAGACCCGTTCTCCCTCTGCAGACCCGTTCTCTCTGCAGAACCCGTTCTCTCTGCAGACCCTTTCTCTCTGCAGACCCGTTCTCTCTGCAGACCCGTTCTCTCTGCAGACCATTCTCTCTGCAGACCCGTTCTCTCTGCCTGACCCGTTCTCTCTGCAGACCCATTCTCTCTGCATGACCCGTTCTCTCTGCTAGACCCGTTCTCTCTGCAGACCCATGTCTCTCTGCAGACCAGTTCTCTCTGCAGACCATTCTCTCTGCAGACCCAGTCTCTCTGCAGACCCTTTCTCTCTGCAGACCCAGTCTCATCTGCCAGACCCGTTCTCTCTGCAGACCCCATTCTCTCTGCAGACCCATTCTCTCTGCAGACCCATTCTCTCTGCAGACCCAGTCTCTCTGCAGACCCAGTTCTCTCTGCAGACCAGTTCTCTCTGCAGACCCCTTCTCTCTACAGACCCATCTCTCTGCAGACCCATTCTCTCTGCAGACCCATTCTCTCTGCAGACCCAGTCTCTCTGCAGACCCGTTCTCTCTACAGACCCATTCTCTCTGCAGACCCATTCTCACTGCAGACCTGTTCTCACTGCAGACCCAGTCTCTCTGCAGACCCGTTCTCTCTGCAGACCCGTTCTCTCTGCAGACCCAGTCTCTCTGCAGACCTGTTCTCACTGCAGACCCATTCTCTCTGCAGACCCATTCTCTCTGCAGACCCATTCTCTCAGCGTTTATCAACCTTTTTCTTACTCAATATCAAGCCACACTTATTGTTTCTACTTCGGCTGTGACTTTGTGTGTGCTCAGGGTGAGTTTCGCTGTGTTTCGCTGTGTATCGCTAAACAAGGAAACCACACCTCCACGGAGCTCAGCGCGATTCACAACGTCCCGACTGGTCCCGACCAATCGGAGCACACTGGGCTCACAGGGAGGAGGGAGGAGGGGGGGGGGGGGGGGGGCAAGAGCTGCAACGAGCCGTTTAGTGGAGAGAGTGAATACACGTAGTTTACAGAGATGCTGTATGCGAAACCAATGTGAGTTTGGAACATTGAACAATGTAAATCTATTCTAGTAGACCTCAACAATGGAATTATGATCAGTGGAAATGGCCATGACATGTGACCTTTAATCCTATCTTATTTTGTGCAAATAGACACAATCAACAGGGTTTCCGCTAGGATTTTTTCTCGCCGGTCAAATGTCCGGACAGAATTTATTTTACCGGACAAATTTGAAACTTACCGGTCATGTTTCAATAATAATAAGAAGAATTGTGTAGCAGAGTTTCCGTTAGCAGGTAATTACCGGATTAGGACCGGATATGCTGATGTTTAAAACTCAGTTAATGGGAGTCATTTTTATATTGCTTCAGTTTATAATCGTAACAGATCGGAAAAATTCAGATTCATTTTTCAATAAATGATTCAACAAACAACAAACAACATAATTATTACATTCAAATAAACTACTTGTAGTAGATGAAGTACATTATTCAAAAGTTTAAATTAACTTTGAATAATAACACGGGAGAAATGGATCCTCTCTTTTTCCCTCTCCCTCCCTCTCTCCTGACAGCCCGTCAGTTTCTCATGCAGCGCGCTAAACAGTGGGCGGAGCTTCAGGTGATTATGCAGCAGCTGATCTGATCGCTCTCTCACGTCCGGTTATACTTAACTCGCGTTTATGTCCATATCGATCAGATCCAGCTCTCCTGATCGGCCTTTATAGAGAGCACCGATCAAATTATTAAGAGTGAATATCGGCCGATAATGATCGGCAGCCAATCGATAGGAGCATCGGACATTTTGACCGGCAGGTTTTGAATTTACCGGGTTTTATTAAATTTGACCAGCCAAAAACCGGTAATTACCGGCTAACGGAAACCCTGACAATCAAATATGGTGCTTTTTACGAATCTGTTATTGTTTTATTAATAAGTTCTCCTGATTCTTTTCTCTGCCCAGGCTCTGCGTCAGGCTCCCAACAACTTCCTGTCGAGGACGTGGTGGAACCCAATCTTTAACTTCCTGGAGAAGAACGTCAGAACCACGGTTCCCGTCGTGTTCTCGTGGCCGGTGGCGCTGCCCTCGTCCTGCAGACAGCGGTACCGGATAGTGGAGGGAGGGAGGGACGAGTGAGGATTAACCATCAAGCATCCTGTTTGAACAAAGCTTTATTTATTATTATTTCCTCTGCTTGACACTGAAATGATGACAAGTGTACATCATCAGGAACGCCTGGGATTTATTTTTACAGGACCGACGACGGCGGAGAAAATCAGTCAATCTATGGTTCCTCTTCTTTGTTTTGAATGTAAGCGTATTAACAAAGATGGCGGCCGCTTAAAGCATCTGCTGCTCTGATTCCTGCAGCTGGTGCTTCTGGGTTTATCATCAAGAAAAATGTCCTCAAAATGGGTTATTTTTTGTAAAATGTTGTAAAATAGTCCACAAAGAGTCCTTACACTGTGTAGTGAAAGCTTGTTGTTTAGCTAACACATGCTAGTGCACTAATCGTAACAATGCTATAGGGCCTTCTATGATAATAATAATATTTATATATCTTTAAGCAAACATTAAGGCACATGTTACAGCGCCCCAAAAAGTGATAGTCAGATTATTTCTAAATTGTTAGTTTGTTAGCTAGCCAGAGATTCATGATCAAAGATATATAGCTATAAACGTAGCATTTTGAGATTCAATCCTTATGGCATTGGTTAAAAATATGCTTTTGCATCCGTAAAAGGTAAATGTACCACTTCCCAACAAATAACAATAAGGCTAAGTATTTAAATATGTAGAATATAATTTAGTTTGTTAGCTAGACAGAGATTTACAACCTAAGATTCATTACTAGCGGAAATCCTCAGTTTTGAACTTGTTTAGGTTTTGGATTGCGGTTAGCAACATGCTAACTACAACAAAAGTAGCCTCCATGAATGGTAAATGTATCTCCTCCCAACCACTAATTCTGAAGCTGAATGTTTGCATATTGAGAATATTTCTTACTGTTTAGTTGTTAAACTAGCTAGAGATTCAGGACCTCAAATAGTTAGCCATTTAGCATTTTCAAGGCTAAGTTCAGTTTGGTCAAAAAGTTGTTCAGACATACATGAACGGTAAATGTAACATCGACGACAATGAAATAATGAGATTTATTTCTGAGTGTTGGTTGGCTGGCTAGATATTCAAGGGTCAAAGCTGAAGTGCTAGGGACTCACAGCTAACTTCATTACTTTGGACATATTTGCTCATTGTTTTGGGTGCAGTTAGCCACATGCTAACGACAGAAAAAAGTGTTTTGTAAAGTAAGAGTAAGATATTATGAGTATTGTTGTACATTTATTTCTATACTTTATTATTGTTAAGTTATATTTACAAGTCAAAATGTGTTTAGTGTTGAGACGCTGAGTTCAGTGTTCTCTTCTTCTCTCTTTTTTACACTGTTCTCTCCATTTTACACCGTTCTTTATTGTAAAATAAACAATTTGAACGTCCACCAGTTGGATTAATGAAGATTCATGTTGTTTCATAAAGCTCCATAAAAGTAACGTTCATTATAAGTGAACTACTACATTAAAATACAAATAGAGCACTTTCTCCTCCACATATGAAACTCGTATTTTATAAACACAATGAAAGCGAATAGGTGTTGATGCAGGACTTCATCCTAATTAGCCCAGATTAACAACAGGAACATATAATGTTATATAATGACCTAATACAGTGTATAGGAGCAGTCCTTCAGAATGAATACTCGTACCTTTGTATTTACGCTTAATTAACACATTTTAATTCAGGACTTTTACTTTATTGGAGTATTTTTCCATTTTATTCACACTTTTACTTTAGTTACGTTTTTATTTGTTGTTTTGTCTCGACCTGCTTCCTGTCGCCGCTTGGCTCCTCTTCCTTCTACCCTGGAAAGAGAAGAAGAAGAATCTGTAGATTTCTGAAGCACAAACACAGAATATATGTTGTTGTTGTTGTTTATGCAGGGCTTTACGTACGTAGTTATCCCTGGCGGACCAGCCGGGGTAAAGCTGCATGTGGAGCAGCCTCTCTTTCTGGGCCAGATCGTAGTATTTAGATTGTTCAGAGCGAGACAGAGCGTGCCACTGAGGAGCAAAGAGGGGTTAGGGTTATTCTTCCTTTAGTTTAAAGGTCCCCTGTTCTCCTGTTCTTCATCAATACATCACAGCTCTCAGATATATCCAGAGCCTGTCTCTGATTGGCTGAAACACCAAACAGATCATTGCAGCATTACCCATAATCCCCTCTGTTTCAGCCCTGTTTCCAAAGTGCTGATTCTCTGTCTGTTACTTTAGATGAAAATAAGGAGCCCCTCCCCACGCCCCTCTGAGAGACATTTGGTTACAAAGAACTCAATGGTGCTCTAGGAGGAGATTCAGGTGATAAGGGGGGGGGGGGGTTACCTTAGTTACTGATTGGCTAATGGTTACACAAGACAACACATCATTATGACATCAAGTGGCCAAAATCTGTTGGGTTATTTTTTGCAAATCACTATAGGAGGCAGTAGTTGTATCATTTCAGATGTAAAACATTTAGAGCTGTGTGTTTCCCAATGTGCACCTGGTTTGTTACTTTCATAGAGTGAGTCAGCATTTCTCCACTTCCTGTTCCCTGTCTCAGAGCCAATGGGATCTCTCCATAGGATTTAGGAAAGTATCTGAACTAAGGTCTGTGGTTGAGACTCATTGAAGAGACGGATCACGTTTTGTTCTACATTAAATCATCAGCAGTGACCCCTCTGGTGATTTCTGAAGAGTGGACGTGTCTGAGAAACGATAGTTGTTACCAAGTGGCTGAATAGGACTACAGAAGTCGTGGAGGTCGTTGTACGTCATTACGCCGAACACGTGAACACTCCTCTGAGTTAGTTTCTGTTCTGCTTGAGAGCAAGTCCCTGCCTCCTGCAGAGTGTTCCAACAAACGCTTCAACTCCTTCCATCTAGAATCTGTGTGTTTGAATATGGATCTGAAGTCGGCGTGACGTTGAAGTCGTGCTGCTGGACTCGGCTGTAGCTCCTTTATAGCATAACGTTAGCATTTAGCTTCTGGACATTAGATTTATGATTAGAACATTATAAAAGTAGACATGTGGAGATTATCCTGAAGAAAGCATTTATCAAACAGGTTCCTTTTCCACAGACTTTATTTCCAGCTATTTTCCTAAATCCTCTGGAGAACTCCCGTTGACTCCGAGGGAACCAGCAGCTTGCTTCCAGGTAAATACGTCATCCCTGCACCGCTCTATAGTAAGAGATGACAGGTGAGATAACCCTTTTGACATCACTATGACATCATTATAAGTGGCCGGGGCTTACCCTGCGTCCCAGGATGCGGTTGATGGCGGCGCTTTCTCTCTCGCGTCCTTCCTGCAGAACTTTGTGTCTGGTTTCCTTCATAAAGAGCATGAAGGCGTTCAGAGGCTTCTTCACCGTCTGTCTGAGAGCGAGACGAACACACAGAGGAGTTCAAAAGTCAACATTTGACCCAGAAATAGATGCCTCGGGTCAGACGCTTTATTGTTCACCAAATAACAGGAAAGTGAAATGTGTGTGAGAACCATAAATCTCTCTGTTCTCATGGACTTTCTCAAGCAACGTGTTTTGTGAGGAGGATTTCTAGTGGAATTCTTTTTGTGGTTAAATGTGAAACTTATTAAGTGAGTAATTAGAACAATTAGAAGTGCACTCCGACTATTAAAGCAGCAGCAATCACTGCAGAAAATAAAAGTCTATGTTCTTGTACATATCGTATTCCATTTTTGCACTACTTTTTATTTAGTATTTTAGTTGTTGGAGGAGATCATTGCCATTTCTACACTGTAGCAATAATCTGAGTCTAAAGTCCCGTCTCTAGCTTCAACACGAATGCTTTCTGCAAAGACGGTGTATCGTTGTTGTTGTTGTCATGACGAACCTAAAAACACAAGCTCACCTGTTGATGCCATTGCCATGGTAACAGGTGTCTGACACTAAGGAGTGGGCGTCGGCTTGTTTGGAGGCGGCTGCACCGATTGGTCCGCTGTAAGGAGGGGAGGGGGGGAGGAGTCTGTCGCTGTAAAGGAGGAGGGGCACGAGAGGGTGGACGCACTCCTGCAGAGGAAATAATAATATACAAATCATAAGATACATTACAATAAATATGTATACAACTATTAAATAAAATATAAATTTCAACCAAAAATATAAATTAAATATATAAATTTGAAACTAAAAATAAATTAAAAATATAAGTTTGAACCAAAAACATAAATTAAAAATATTAGTTTGAACCAAAAGTATCAATAATGATAATATTTATTATTATATTAGATAAATAAAATGTATTTATAGGGCACCTTTTAATTGTAATAATTAGAGTCAACATTCATTAAAATGCTACAAAATAAATGTAAACAACATATTTGTTGTACTTTTTGTCGAGGGAACCACGTATAATATCCCCGCAGTACTGTATAGTATGCATTTGGAGTATTAGTACACAAAAAGTACTTGATGTTACAGGAAGAGACGGCAGCTTGTAGGTTTCTCCTCTCAGCGCTGATTCCTTCACACTAACTGTGTTGGATGGATAACAAACTGACCAGAGGGAATCATAACAGCACAGTATGGTACACATCACACACACACACACACACACACACACACACACACACACACACACACACACACACACACACACACACACACGGCCTGAGGTCAGTGCAGGGTTTTACAGTTAACACTGATTGTGTTAGAAGGGGAGCGTATTGGCTTAAAGGGGTCATTTGTCCGCACGCACACACACACACACACACACACACACACACACACACACACACACACACACACACACACACACACACACACACACACACACTCACATTAGCAGCAGTGTGTGTTGTGTGTTGTCGCCCCCCGCTGGTCTGATCCAGGTACTGCTGCTGAGGTTCACACCAGTCAGACACCTGAAAACCTGAGAAGTGAAAAAAAACATCACATTTTCAATAAATAAATATATTTGTAATATCAAGTTGGATTAAGGATATTAATTGTATGTCGTACCTGCAGGGCTCTCGTTCAATCCAATCTCCTAAACAATAATTCAATTAGTTCACCCTCATATTGCAGGACATCAATCAAACATTTAATACATATTTGACAATAAGTAAGTAAATATGAAATATAAAGTGCATTTTTAAAGAGCACGAGGATAAAAAAACAGCACAGTCAATATATATATATATTAATCATATTATTCGTTATATTTACATTTTTAAATAATGATCTTAAAATGGAGAAAGGTGACCCTAAATATTCATAATAATAAACACTTTTATAACAAATATTTTTTGACAAATGATAATAAAGACTGTATTTAAATTATGCAGTAAAATCACATGACTTAGATCAAATAAAAGATTAAATCATAAGAGATAATACAATAATAACAACTAATTTAATAAAACAGTAATACAAACTCACCCCTCTGCTGGACACCTGCTCCATTTGTTAATAATAATAATAATAATTTGAATTAAAACAGGAGAGGAAGATCTTCAGACCTCCAACTGGGATTAAATCATGTTTGTGATGATATATACACACACACACACACACACCCACTCACACACACCACACACACACACACACACACACACACACACACACACACACTCACACACACACACACACACACACACACACACACACACACACACTCACACACACACACACACACACTCACACACACACACACCACACACACTCACACACACCCCACACACACACACACACTCACACACACAACACACACACACACACACACACCCACACCACACACACACACCACACACACCAACTCACACACACACACAAACACACACACACACACACACCACTCACACACACACACCACCACTCAACACTCACACACACACACACACACACACTCACACCCAATACACACACACACACACCACACACACACAAACCACCCCCAGGACACACACACACACACACACACACACACAAACACACAACACACACACAACAACACCACCGACACAAACACCACACAAACAACACACACACACACACACCACACACTCACACACTCACACACACACACACACACACACACACACACACACACACACACACACACACACACACACTGCCAGTCATTGTTTGCCTTGGGTTGCTCCGCTGCCATTGCTCATTTTCTTATTACTCAGTTTCTACACTTATTTATGCAGCGAGGAATAATAACAAAATGCGTTTCTATTATTTTGTCCACCCCATTCACTTCAATGAAGGTATGCTGAATAACCTACAAATCTCCTTAAATAAATAATCATAAAGTTGTATCACCGTCTGTCTTCCAATGAACTGCTCTCAGGCTGCTGGCATTTAAAATTAAATTAAAGCAAAAATAAGCAAAACGTAATTATTTAATGAAAAATGGGAAAAACTGAGCATTTCCTTTCTAGTGTGTTTCACTGTTTATTGTTTTTTATAATTATTTTTTTCTGGATTTTGTGAAAATCTATAAAATGTGGTTTCATTTTGTATAAATGAGTACGATTGAGCGGTTGAAACGGTTAAAGGAACTTCCCCCTGCACCTACAAGGCAACGGGAAACGCCAAGGCCTGCGCTCAGTAGTGGCCGTGAGCGTGGGCACATCCAACCTGCTCCTGTTAATCAGGGACACCCTCTCTGGTCGCAGACTCCTGTGTGACACTGGCACCCAGCGTTTCAACACCTTCTCAGTGAGTTTCCCGACTTGACGCAGCCCACCTTTTCCGCTGCCACTACCAAACACGGGGTCGAGCACCACATTGACACTAGAGGCCCCCCAGTCTACGCTAGGGCCCGGCGGCTCAAGCCTGACATGCTGGCAGTCGCCAAGTCGGAGTTCGAAAACATGGAGCGTCTGGGCATCATCTGCCGCTCAGACAGCCCTTGGGCCTCACCGCTCCACATGGTCCCTAAACCAGCCAGCGGCTGGTGACCATGTGGAGACTACCGCCGCCTTAACGATGCCACTATGCCAGACCACTACCCGGCCCCTCACATCCAGGACTTCTCTGCACACCTGGCGGGCAAGCTGGTCTTCTCCAAGGTGGATCTGGTGCGGGGCTACCACCAGGTTCCGGTGCACCCCTCGGACGTCCCCAAAACTGCGGTGAGTACGCCGCTCGGGCTGTTCGAGTTTCTGCGTATGCCGTTTGGACTTAAGAACGCAGCTCAGTCCTTTCAGCGACTGATGGATTCAGCGCTCAGAGACATGCCATTCATCTTCGTCTATTTAGACGACATCCTTGTCGCTAGCTCCTCTGAAAAAGAGCACCAGGCACATCTCAAAGACCTTTTTGCGAGGCTCAACTAATACGGCCTGATTATCAACCCGAAGCGGGTTGTCCTCCATCCACTTCCTCTGACATCTCATCAGCAAAGATGGAGCAGCCCCCCTCCCGTCAAAAGTGGAGGCCGTGTCCGCCTTTCCCCGACCACCCACAGTTCGGGCGCTCCGAGAGTTCCTCGGGATGGTGACGTTTTATCACCGGTTCATCCGCCGGGCTGCCCACACCATGCGCCCGCTGTACGAGGCCCTCCAAGACAAGTCCCTCAGCCAGGCCATAGACTGGACGGCCGAAAAGGAGGCTGCTTTCGATGCCACCAAAGCCGCCCTGAGCGAAGCCGCCATGTTGGCTCACCCGTCACACAAGGCCCCCATTGCTATCACCACCGACGCGTCTGACTACGCTGTAGGCGCGGTGCATGAACAATGGGTCGACAACGCCTGGCAACCGCTCGCTTTTTTCAGTCGCCAGTTGACCCCCAGGGAGCGCAAGTACAGCGCTTTTGACAGGGAACTCCTTGGCCTCTGGTTGGCGGTTCGCCACTTCCGTTTCCTGCTGGAAGGCCGTGAGTTTACGGCGTTCGTGGATTACATCCACTCACATTCTGCATGTCAAAGGTTACCAAGCCGTGGTCTGCCTGACAGCAACGCCAGCTGTCGTACATATCCGAGTATACCACGGACATCCGACACATCGCTGATAAGGCTAACGTGGTCGCGGACTGCCTCTCCAGAGCGGTCATCGGAGCTGTGCAGCTGGGCCTCGATTACCTCCGCATGGGCGCTGACCAGGCCTCTGACCACCAAGGCCTTGGTCACAGGATTATGCCTGGAGGAGGTCACGGTCGGTGACTCGGGCGCGAAGCTGCGGTGTGACATCTCCACGGGCCAGCCTCGATCGCTGGTCCCTGTGGACTGGCACCGACCCGTTTTTGGGGCGATTCACAATCTTTCGCAGCCCGGCAGGAAACCGTCCGTGAAATTGGTGTCGTAGAAGTTCGTGTGGCAAGGGCTTAAAAGGGACGTGAAGTCCTGGGTCGACTCATGCATGGGCTGTCAACGGGCTAAAGTGCACCGCCATACTAGAGCCCCTTTTGAACTTTTTGCGGTTCCTGAGAGGAGGTTTGACCTCGTAGGGCCACTCCCCCCCCTCTCACGGTTTCACCTACCGTTTCACTATGGTTGACAGGACGACCCGCTGGCCCGAGGCCGTTCCCCTCACCTCGACAGCAGCTTCTGACGTCGCCCGCGCTTTCATCGGCACGTGGGTGGCACGCTTCGGGACCCCATCTGACCTCTCCTCTGACCGCGGCTCTCAGGTCACCTCGGAGCTTTGGAACGCTGTTGCTGTGGGTTTGGGGGTCAAGCTGAACAACATCACCACATATCACCCCCAGGCTTGTGTGAACGTTTTCACCGACCCATGAAGGCAGCCCTGCATGCCGGCTTGACAGACGGCAACTGGGTGGATAAGCACCCGTGGGTTATGCTCGGCCTCCTGTGTGCCCCCAAAGAAGACCTGCAGTCCTCGTCGGCGGAGCTTGTCTATGGTTAGACGCTAAGAGTCCCCGGGGAATTCATTCCCGCCGCCACTGTGCCTTGGTCTGCGGCCGGGCAGCGCTCCTCCCTGCTGGAGACCGCCTGGACATTCAAGCCCGTCGCAGCACAGCAACCCAGCTTTCCGGGTGTCCCCCGGACTACGGTCGGCGGTTTATGGTTTTCATTCGCCACGACGCCCACCGCGGCCCCCTGCGGCCCCCTTACGACGGCCCGTTCAAGATCATAAGACACAGGAACAAGAGCCTGGTGGTGGATGTTGGTGGCAGACCTGAGACTGTCCGTCGACAGGATTAAGCCTGCTCATGTGGACGTTTTCAGGCCGTTGGAGTTGGCTCTGCCCCCACGTCGGGGTCTTCCTCCCATGCCCTACCCCCCACCCCCTGTGGGGTGGCCCTCGCCCTCGTTGGCGCCCCTGCCGTTGCCTGCGGCTCCGCCCTCCTCTGCCCCTGTGGTCCGTACGCCGGGGTCGGGTGGTCCTTCCTCCCCGACGCGAGGATTTTGACTATGGGTGAATTCTGGAGGGGGCTTGTGTGGTGGGTTGACATAATTCACCCACGGAACTATGAGTGGGGGTATTGTTCCGCACAGACATTTGAGTTAGCCGGACCTCCGGTTTCCCCGGTCAGTTGTCCCGGGCTTGAACTTGTTTGCATTCTGTTTTAATGTCTAATAAAAGTCTAGCTTGTTCTTTCGACACACCGCCTCCGACTCCCGTCTCTCGGCACTACACTGTATACAAATAATTGAATTACTTAAAATCACTTTGCATAAATTGAATCTTAAATAATAATTTTAAGTAAATTAAAAAATGTCTTCCAGAATTCATCTTTTATGTTTTGCAACATGAATGTTGTTCCTTTCTTTAACAACTTGTTTTTTAAATGCCACATCTTATTATTAAAGTTATTATTATCATTAATATATTTTTTTTACTTATTGTGCTTTTATAAATATTTGTATTTTATTTATTATATATTTTTTTATATTACTATATGTAGTTTTTTAGATTAAGTATTCATAATTGGAGCAACTTTCAGAACGCCACATTTCCCCCTCAGATAAATAACGTTATTTATGTATTAGTAATAGATTGGCTTTCATTCTTTCTGTTATTATTTGAACACTTGATTGCACTGTCTGTTTTTTCCCCTGTATTTCAACAACGTTTGTTGAAAGACTACAACTCCCAGGATCCATCAGCTGTTATCCGCCCTTGATAACAGTGATACACTCGTTGAGACTGTAAGGATACACTGGACATGGATGCATTATGATAACTTATAGCTTTTATTTGAATCATTAGGTTTTAAAAGTTATAACATGCTCTAAAAGCTGACATTGTTATTTTATCTCTCCTTTCATCTAACTGACAGAGAGCGGAGGCGGGGCTTAAGGGAAAACTCTACTGCGCATGCTCTGTGGGCCCTCATCTCAGTACTTCTGCTCTCGACCATGCTCTCAGGCACGATCCAGTTGTTGTTCAACTTCCATCGGTCGGAGTCTCTATCAGCTCTCATTAATATCTATCTGTGATATATTAGAATTTAACCCGTTCCTCTCAGGAGAAGAAGAGACGAGAGGAGCTTTAGAACAATTCCACCTCTTCATCCGGGTCCTTATCTGCTGCTAGCTGCTTCATGCTAGGTGGCTAATGCTAGTCGATGAACATCAACCAACTGAAGAACAAAGAGTAGCAGAAACACCGGGTAATACTGTGTACTTTTACTATGATACTGTGTACTTGTACTCCTAAGATTACTGAGTACGTTTACTATAACACTGAGTACTTTAAAACTGATAATACTTAGTACTTTTTTATTTGGAGCTGTTCATCGATCATTCCTCACAGCAGGCTCACCTCTCTAAAGATGGCGGCGCAGACAGCAGCAGCGGCCCCTAGCTCTCCCGAGTCTTTAGTGTAGACCGAGAGGTACTCAGCGGCTTTGGAATACGTTGATCCTCGCCTGCTACCTACATGCCGAATAGGAGACGCCGCAAGCGGTGTGGGAGGAAGCAGAAGAGGGGTAAGCGCGGAGGCATCCGAGCTAGGCTAGCAGCTAGCCCACACAGGCCCGCTATTCCGAGCACTCTCATGGCTAATGTTCGCTCACTGGACAATAACATGGACATCATAAGACCACTCCGGTCGACTCGGAGTGGGGTGAGAGAGTGCTGTGTGTACGTTTTCACGGCTAAACGCTCAGACAGAGCTACGGTTAGCGGGGGGAAGAGCCGCGGCGGCGGTGTGATTGTTCGCATCAGTGATGCTTGGTGTAGGGACGCGGTGGTTTTCTACAAACACTGTTCACCGCTGGCGGGGTTTATGTTCGTGAAGTGCAGGCCTTTCCATCTTACCCTAACCTGCTAGCAGGATGGAGTTAATTTATTCCCACCTCTGCTGCTAAGCTACTTCTTAGCTGTAGATTGGTTTTGTGTTGACTGTAGTGTTAATACTTATTTCAGAGAGCCAGCAGGAGAAGGAGCACTGAGAGCAGCATGGAGGGGAACAAAGAGACCCCCAGAACTCAGGTCAGTGTTCACTTCATCTCAATATACAGTCCCCTCCAAAACTATTGTAACAGCAAGGCCAATTGCTTTATTTGTGCTGTAAAGTGAACACTATGTGGTGTGACATCAAAAGGGTCAGTATTTCAGCTTTTCATTCCAGGTTTTTACATCTAGATCTGTTAAACAACTGAGAAGATAGCACATTTTGTTTACACCCCCCCATTATTCAAGTGAACAAAAGTATAGGAACAGATACTTAAAATAATGCTTAGTATTTAGTTGCAAATCATTTGCTTGCAATAACTGCATCAAGCCTGCGACCCATTGACATCACCAAACTTTTGCATTCTACATTGGTTTTGTGGTGACTGTAGTGTTAATACTTATTTCAGAGAGCCAGCAGGAGAAGGAGCACTGAGAGCAGCATGGAGGAGAACAACGAGACCCCCAGAGCTCAGGTCAGTGTTCACTTCATCTCAATATACTCCTATCACTGTTATCCCTTACACTGGGGGTCATTTGGGTTATTTAAGGACTTTAAACCTGTACATTTATTTAATGAGAAAACTATCTTGAACATTGTGGGGTTTATTTTACAGACTTTTATTTTTAGATATGGTTTCGGGTGTATATCAGTGTCTCTACTTTAAAGAGTCCTCTCCTGCTGATGTTGAGGTGTATATCAGTGTCTCTACTTTAAAGAGTCCTCTCCTGCTGATGTTGAGGTGTTTATCAGTATTTAGTGTGTATACTGTGACAGGTCTCCATGCTTTAATGTTCAAAAAGCTCTTTATTTTTTTCATACTGCTTCTGAAGCACCTCTTTTCACCCTCCGTCTTAAACCAGAGCCTTAGTCAAAATTCTGAGAAAACATTTGAAAAAAAGTCAAAATTCTAAGAATAAAGACTGAATTCAGATTTTAAAAAATCTGAGGAAGTCAAAAATTATAATTCAGAACAATTCTGATTCCTATAAGAGTTTGGGAAAATCTTAATATTGAAAAAAAGTTTTAATTCTGAAACATGTAAATATAATCAAGTTCGGGAAAAATCTGAATTCTAAGGAAAAAGTAAGAATTATGAAAACATCCTGAAAATAAACAATTACTTCTGTAAAATGCGAATTTTGAATATGTGGAGAAAAGTCCGATTTAAATTCTGAAAGACATTCAGAAATCTGTAAAAAATAAAAATCATTGCGAATGTCAGCAATAAGGTCAAATGTCAAGTTTATTAACTAAAGTCATTGAAATAAAAGAAAACATTCAAATTTGATTAAGTATGATTTGGTCATATGAAATCAAATGGGCTTGTTTTATTTTTGTAGATCTCTGCACAATGGCCTCTCACTAACTCTTTGTCTCTCGCTGTATATTTTAGGAACGGAGAAGAAGAAAGCAAACCGGACCTCACATCTGTGACCAGTGTAACAAATCCTTCTCAACATCTAATACTTTAAAGATTCATCAGCGCATTCACACTGGAGATAAACCGTACAGCTGTGACCAGTGTAACAAATCCTTCTTAACATCTCCTACTTTAAAGGCTCATGCACGCATTCACACTGGAGAGAAACCGTACAGCTGTGACCAGTGTGGGAAAACCTTTGCTCGGAAAGGTCACCTTTCATCTCATCAGCGCATTCATACTGGAGAGAAACCACACCACTGTGAAGAGTGTGGGAAAACCTTTGCTCAGAAAAGTCAGCTTTCATCTCATCAGCGCATTCACACGGGAGAGAAACCGTACAGCTGTGAAGAGTGTGGGAAAACTTTCACTAGATCAGATAAACTCAAAATCCATCATCGTATTCACACAGGACAGAAACCATACTGGTGTGAAAAGTGTGGGAAAACTTTCACTACATCAAGAAATCTCTCAATCCATCATCGTATTCACACAGGAGAGAGACCATACTTGTGTGAACAGTGTGGGAAAACCTTTACTCAATCAATTGAACTCACAGTCCATCATCGTATTCACACTGGAGAGAAACCATACAGCTGTGAACAGTGTGACAAGTCATTCACTACATCAAGTCATCTTAAGAGCCATCATCGTATTCACACGGGAGAAAAACCACACAGCTGTGAAGAGTGTGGGAAAACTTTCACTACATCAAGTGAGCTCAAAAAACATAATCGTATTCACACTGGAGAGAAACCATACAGCTGTCTCCAGTGTGACAAGTCATTCTCTAGATCAGGTCATCTTAAGAGCCATCATCGGATTCACACTGGAGAGAAACCACACAGCTGTGAACAATGTGGGAAAGCCTTTACTCAGATCAGTTCCCTTAGATCCCACCAGCGCACTCACTCTGCCTCCATCTTATCCTTTTCTGAGTCAAGCTAGCATTCCCCCTGTGTTCTACAAATGTAAAGCTGACCAACCGTGACTTTACATTCTAATAAACATGTTTTTTATGGTCTACATTCAGACGTCCCAAAATCCTGCTGTCCTCACACTCTTAGCTCTATATGAGAGTGCTCTGGTTAATACAAATGTTTTTTTATTTTAGATAAACCAGCCGTTTCACACTTTTCTGTGTGTAACGTTCACTGAATTGTTTTTATTCCATGTTTTGGTTCAATTGAAATGCTTGAGTTGCCTTTTTGGTACTTTTTTATTTTTAAAGTGATGTTCAAAACACTAAGAAACGTTAGGTATGAGAAGTGATAAAGTACATTTGTGACGTTCTTGTTTTGTTGTCTCTTTGTAGGACACTGATTTAAATTATTCTTAAACTATGAATTATTTTTATGCTGTGTATGTAATTTATTATATGTAATGTCTTGTCTTTTATCTGGACCCTGAGTCTGTAATTATAAAGTTTTCATAATATGATCTCATGTTCATTATTTGACTTCATTGTGACTGCCATTAGTTTTCTGTGTTCTCAGTAAATGTGATTCTTGCTGCTGGAATAATCTGAGCTGTAAACTTAAAACTTGTTTTCTATTTTCTCATTAAAGTTGTCGACACAAAGACTCTTTGACTCATCATTAGAAATATATAATGACTTCAAATCACTTTGCATTATATTTTAAAGCTCGGTCTTGGTTTACTAGCAACAAATAATAGAACGAGAATTCAAATATATATACATATAGTATTCTGATTAGTTTTATTTATTTAGTCATTTATATTTTCGTTTATCGTTTTCCCCTTTTATTATTTTGAGCAGGTATTATTATATATTTGAATAATTAATTAATTTGCTTTGAGTCCAATATATAAAGTGTCCTTGGGTTTATGAAAGGCATTATATACATTTCAGTTATTAATATTACATCATTTAAATTGTAATAAAAGGACCAAAAATATTACAAAATTGAAATATAGCTATATCTACATGTAATATATATATATATACTCAAAAATAATGATACGCACAGTATAATGACAAACTATTCGTTAAAAATAAAATAATAAATGTGCAGTATTGGTATGACGAGAGGAAAATCTTGCAGATATTCAAGAAAGGAACTTTTTATACATTGTGCAAAAAAAGACTAAGCTAACTCAAAACCCTTAAAGAGCTTACGAAATGAAGGACAATACTGTTCTTATTAGGATAATATATACTATTATTAATGGGACATCATTTGTCATTAATGACAATATGCCCGCTGTATTTATAAATCGTGATTTATTACAACTTTCCATGCTCGCTTCCGATGTTACACGACCGCTCCGGACCAAACAGCTTTCGCCGGTTAGTGATGTAATGCACGTCACGAGTAGAACACTTTTTGAATAATACACTAACTATATGGCTGATGTCGGACTCTGGCTCGGATATTTCGACAGAATCGAGTGACAGTGAGTCGTCAATAACCTCGGTGCACTTTCAAGAAGAGGAGGATTTTATTGAAGAGGATGCCGGTGTGGTGGAATCAGATCATGCGGGCGAGTCTAACGTGGTGGAACCATACCAGTTTGAGCCACAGTATTCAAGTAGCGGTAGAGATACAGACGGGAGCGAAAATGGGGACGATGATCCTGGATTTGGCGGAGATCCGGTGCGGCAACAGAACACAGACTGGTATAAACATTTGACTTTAATTCATAGAGATTCTCAATAAATAGTAAATCAATAATAATAAATAGCAGGCACACTTCACTCAGGCAACAGAACACAGACTGGTATAAACATTTGATTATAATTCATAGACACTTGGCTCAGGTAACTGCATCACACTCTGCTAGGCTTGGAACTCACCACAGAAGTATTTTTTGTACATTTAGGTGTACATGTGAAAAATGTACAATCATGGAAACAATTGAAGAGTGCCAATGCTGCCAAGAAAAGGATGCCATGGTGGCCAAAATGGAGGAATTCAATGAATATGAGGGAGATGGTGCAAACATAACCGGCGTAATAGATCACCCAGGATTCCAATCAAATTGTCTGGATGTTTGGGTGTTGCAGACAGCCTATCATCATGGATCTGGTACATCGAAAGGTTCCTCATTGACATTGTTTTCGCACAAGCGTAGAGTCTCGGTCAAGAGTTCGGTAACATACTCTGCAAAAAAGATGTTTTATAATCAAGAATTATATACTATATTTTCTAGTCCCCCAATTATGCATAGCATGCCCTGAGGCACTTTGCATAAGTAATCATTGTAGTTGAAACTGTACACTCCATTCTCACATAGCTCAATTTTCAATATTTACACAATAATGTTTTCCAAGATTGAATGTTTTTCATTAATTTGGTAAAACGGTATAATTAATGTTATTATACTCTCACTTTCTTACCATATGTAGCTGCTGTATTCACACGTCTAACTACATGACCACCTTTCTTTGCTTTGGGGAATTTCACAGTGTATTGGAGTTGTCCTTGTACTGGTTTTGGCATGCTTCCTGCCAGAGTTCTCATTGTAGTGCAGTGCTGCTAGGATCAACCTACAAAATAAATACATTTATTGTATTGTATAGAGAGAGAAAGAGAGAGAGATAATGTAGCAGGCACACTTGGCAAATAGATAAATAAGTAAATAAAGTTGAAGTCTAGTATTTTCTGATGAGATTCATATTATACTTTACATACATGCCAGTGTACGAGTATGCATACATCTTTGGGGCAAACTGGTTGACTATACTGTGGTATACTTCCACCCCGTAGGCTTTCTGTGAAGGTGACATCTTCTTGACATCTCTGACAAAAGCTTTCTGGCTGACAACTTTATTCAGCTTTAGTGCTGGCACTGAATCTGAAAATACACAATCAAAAAAGGATATACGACAATAGAAAAAATATTAGTTCTTCACTGCATATCATTTTTCTTTACTGAAGACACAAAAACATTCCAACACAACATTTGATGTGTGGTCCATTGTCGTAGAAAATATTATTACCTGCTTTGAGACATTTTTTCTTGGGGTTCTGAGCTGCAGGCAGCCGACCATGGGCACATTTCTCGAACACTCTGCCATGTTTGGTGTGAATGTTTATAATGTGGTTGTTGAGGGACAGCCATTTTTCAGCAATAATTTCTCCATTTCCATCCGGAGTTGATACGGCACACCAATACAGATGGTTCAGAATGGATTGTATCCATTCCCCAATATCGGTACATTGCTTGTCCTTTGCAAGCTTTACCAGTTTTTTAGGTCTAAAAAATAGAAAGTGCAGTATTTTTTTTTTTTTTTTTAAATTGTAGTGAATTATAATTCTACTATAGTTTAAAAATTAACCTACTTTTTGCAAGGTGCCAAACGTCGAACCGATGGTCCACATGTTCTTGGTTTTCCTTCAGCCATTTGTTGATCTGTGTGTGTCTGTCACAATTGTCTTCATGACGAGGTTTTCACTCTCCAAGAACTGGACACATCGCACAAGCCCCTCTTTTTCCATGTGGACACTTGAAGGGACTTCATTACTCTGGAAATACATTCAGAACACACGTAATATATTTTATAAAGATGGCTATCATAGAGCATTTGATTTTCAGTGGTCATATTTGTAAACATGGTTAATGCTTTCAGCTTGAAATGCATCGGCCAAAAAAAACCACTCCTGAAATTATATTGTTTTGTGTTCGATAGAAAATATTCTCAGCTGTGTTTGGCTATAAAGTATTTGGAGGAGGCTATTCATAACATAGGATACATTCACTAATACTGACCTGCACTAATTGAACATCCAACACCTTGTTTATTGTGAGGTCTTGTATGGTATAGGATCCATACTTGGCACAGCGTCCATCCCCTCCTAACACCAGTTCTTTGTTTTTGTTCGTCTCCTTCAGTTTCTGCACAATGTTGTTCCGATTCTTGGTCCAGACTGTCTTGATTGCAGGTTGAAGGAATTTCATCGGATGATTCAGAAATGTCCTTGTTGTGATGGTGTAGCAGTTGATGGACTTCAGTACCCTCAGCACTTTTGTTGGTGATGTACTCGCAAAAAGAATTCCTGCTGACAACAGCAGATTTCCAGCAGGAGTTTTATCAATAAAAGGTTGACTCTGCCATGACCTGTGAGAAAAATATATTCATTCCATTTTCTATCATACTATACAACCTGTAAGAGTATCTCATGAATATGACCACCTGTCAATCATGGCCACAAATATCATTCTCTAATACATATTTCGCATGGTCATCATTTAAAAATATTACCTTTGAAAACCACAATGTTTGCAGTTTTGATCGATTTCCACAAATGTGCCCATTGCTCTACGAAGGCGACCTGGCGAGTTCTCTTTACACATCGGACAATGGGTGAATAGTGACATCAGGAAAGACATGAACACAAGCAGAAGCTTACTCCTAAGAGGATCAGTGTCGTCCTGGTTGTCACCGTCCCTGTGAAATGGACAAAGAGTAAAATGATCAAGTCTGCAATAAATGGCTGGATCCGACCCGGCATAATGATAATGTAGCAACATTTAAAAAACATGACAAAGCGATACTCATCAGCTGACGAATCAGATTCCACGTCTGATGGGAAGATGATCATTTTGATCATCCTCTTCATGTTGGCTATTGTCGGTGTTACGTTCCCTTCTGAATCTAGGGGTACAAAGGGAAGTAACAACACACAAAATAACCGGCCGAGAGAAAAAGGAGAGGAACCTGAATGCTGAAGCCACAAAGTGAGGTTTTAATTAATACAAAAGTAAAGAGGCTCACCAGCCAAATTGCAAAACAAACTTAACTAAGGACAACTTTCTTTCAAAAGACAATTAATAAAACAATACACAAAGACACACTGGAGCACATCTCCTAACAATTAGCAGAACACAGGTTCAACTAGGCCTCACACAGAGACCCTACACTACAGCACGTAACACAGGCTGCACACAGGCTGCACACAGGCTGCACACAGGCTGCACACAGGCTGCACACAGGCTGCACACAGGCTGCACACAGGCTGCACACAGGCTGCACACAGGCTGCACACAGGCTGCACACAGGCTGCACACAGGCTGCACACATGCAGCCAGAGGAGAAGGGGAGAACGACTGCAGCCTTCCTCAGGTCCTTTATGGGGGCGCTGATTGGGGATTGGGAGCACCTGGGGAGAGGCTGCACCTGCAGACAATCAGAGGGAGAGAGAGACACAAAGGCACACACACAAGCACCAACTGCGGCACGTAACTGTCGGCCTCAAGCTCTTTTTCCTCATCAATGATGTCCCTTTAGGTTTAGCTGCAGGTTGCACTGAATCCCAGCATCATCATGTGTTTGTGTCCCAACAGTACACACAGATGGTTTGACTTCAATTCCTGAAAATATTATATAATTATATATATACGCATGTATGTATGTGTATTTGTATCTTACATATCAATATTTAAATATTATGATACTGACCTTTGGAACAACCAACATGGATTCGAACTTGCTGTCCAGCTGACCTGAAACGTGGTCGTGCCTGCACGGACTTGTGGTGTATTCATGGAGGGGGGTCCGTTTGCACAGCAATTTCATTCTGAATTGTACAAAACACAGCACAACTTTACAAATACATCTTTGAAACTAGCTTGAAATTGTATTGAAAGTGTTACAGGCTTGGGCTGCGGTCGGATAATCCAAAAATTAGCTCCTAAGTTCTAACCCTATCTCCTATTCCTTGACCTCTGAGTGAAAGGTCACGGGGTTAAGGGATAGTGGATAGGAGAATTCAAAAGGACTTAGGAGAAGAGACCGCGGTACTTTAGAGAATCGACTGCACTTTCACTCTCCCACGTGTTTATGATGCGCCAGCGGACGTCCTGAATGAGCGTCTGCTGCTGTGGGGAAACTATGGAAACTACAGTTCTCTATACAGCGGACTACAACATGGATGTTCAATAAGAACGAGGGACTCCTGTGAACTCATCTAGAGACTCTGTGCTCTGACGCTGTTGCTTTATGCTTTATGAACGGGGACAACAGAGAAACAGATTCTTCAGGACCAAAGCTGGAATTGAAATAAAAAGGAAAGTGAAGCTTCTGCTCGTCCCCCTCTCCCTCCGGTCCACATTAATACAAATGATCCCAATACGTATGATTGATGAAAAGATCTTAAATCAATACAGATGTATTTATTATAAACGTTAGTCCTTAACATCTATCACTGTGTATATCACCATTCAAACATCTTTTACAAGTTGAACAAACCCCACAGCTCAGTAAAGACTGTGAGATGTTGACTTTATTTGATCATTTCAGTAAAAACTAACGTTCATATTTCTCTCTTTGATTATAATACTGATGAACGTTCAGAACAAAGCACTTTGGAAACTTACCACATACGTTTTAAAAAGCTTAATAAGCACCGTAACTTTCATGATATCATTTCTCCGTCATAATCGGTTGTTTCCGTGAACGGCCGACTGTTGAGTGACGGCAAATGCTGCGGCTGCAATGCATTGTGGGGCAGCATTTTCTCCTCTCCTTTCGGTTAGGGAGGTCCAGTGGTTCCTAAGCAAAAGGAGGTTATAAAGGAAGTTTGAAACCTCCTTTCCTTTCATTTAGAGAATTGGAACGGCACTTATCATGGCTGCCACTGACGTACTTCCGGGTCATTTCACTCCGTTAAGAAGGTTCCTAAACTAAATGGACTATTGGAACGCAACCCTGCTGTCAGCTGTGCAGCGTCATCACAAATGGATGTCGCTTCACGTGACGCTCCGGAGGAAAGGACGTCCCATTGCTCTTAAAACTAATTTCCCTGCTTCTCGTGGTTTCCTTTCATCTCTCCATGCTTCCCTGGTGGGAGGGACTAGTCGCAGGGAAACGGCGCAAGTGAGGGAAGCAAGGAATCCATTTAACCGAAGTGAGAAGGGCCCTAAGCCTTGGCCTGTCACTTCAAGAGTATCAGCCGCAAGGGGTTGTGGGTTTTGGAGTCTGTGTATGTGTAAAATGTGATGGCCAAGGCGAAGTGCGGAGGTATGAAGAGAGATACGAAAGCAGGGGCGGACTGGGACACAAATTCTGCCCGGGACGTTCAGACGCACCGGCCCACGCATGCCGACCACCCTTGTAGCCTACAGATAAATTATACATCCATGCTCATATAGTGTTATGGCTAGATTCCCCAGAGTCAAGCCATAACTGCAGCTGTCTCACTTTCTCAGGGTCAACTGCATAAGAAGAACATCAGCAATCAATTAAATTACCAATAGTATATCAATATCAAAATTCTGAAAGGAACTGCTTGTCTAATTCAGGCCTATAAAATAAATGCAATAGTGAATTGGCCACAAATCTCTGTCCTTATTATTTCATATTAATATTATTTAATATTATTATTTAAAATGATAATATTAATATTATATAATTTAACTTGGAATATCATGAGCATATGACTATCCTAATGCATCTAACTTTATGCACAATATAATAGTCTGGTTAGCCCTGCAGCCCGTTCTAGGTTCTGATTGGCTCTCTAGGTTGGCATTCTAGCTTCTGACTGGCTATCCAGGTTGTCAATCACAGCATATTATACTAGTCGTAACATTGCTAAACTTTTTCATGACGGTTTTCTCAGGGAGCTTGTCTGATGAGTGGACCTCTGACGCGGGCCTCGCCCTCTTTCCAATTGGAAGAGACGACTCATCTCTCCCGGACCAGCCCCTTCAGTTAATGTATTAGCCTACTTTCAAAAACATAAGATTGACAACCTATCAATAGCCCCGTTTACATGGAATGTTTTTCCGATCGTATCCAATCACTAAATAAAGCGATCCACACGTTCACTTGTATACATGGGCCAAGCATTAAGCTGATTACAATTTCACCGGTACCGAAGTGGGTCGATCGGAGTAGGCCGAGTGGTCCGGCCGGCCCACTTCGGTACCGGCCCATCGGGATTCGTCCCGATCGCCACTGTACGAAAGTAGAGTAAGTGGACAGAAAAGGAAAAGTATCTAGTCTGTATTCTATCTATATGGCGCTGGTCTGTAGGCCTATGCAATACATTGTCAATTTAACTGATTACTGTGAAGAACGTGAATACACGGAGGTTCTTCCCACGGCACCCGAAGCCCCGTTTTCATCCGTTTCCCCCTCTAAATGTCTGGGCAGCTGGTTACCGGCTGACAACGAGCCAAGTCAGAAACCACCGGTGTGTATTCGAAACTACGGTTTCGATGCTGAGACACCGTTAGTAAATAAGGTAACACAAGTTTATACATAATGTAATATATATCAATCAATCAATCAATGTTTATTTATATAGCCCAATATCACAAATGTTACATTTGTCTCAGTGGTCTTCACAGTTTGTACAGAATATCAGTATGATAACACAACACCCTCTGTCCTTAGACCCTCTGTCCTTAGACCCTCACATCGTACAAGGAAAAACTTCCGGAGAAAACCCACAGTTTAAAGGGAGCATGGGAGAAACCTCAGGGAGAGCAACAGAGGAGGGATCCCTCTCCCAGGACAGACAGACGTGCAATAGATGCCACAATACATTTACAACATAGGTAGACCAAATGTTTGGAAATGCATGTGTGTATAATAGGAAGATGAATCCACAAGGATATCCATCCAGGACCACAGCAACAGGCACAGCCACGACTCAAGATCCAGGGCTCGTGATCCAGGACACAGGACCGCAGCAACAGGATCATCCATGACTCCGGATCCCGGCGTATATAGACACCAAAAAGAAAGAGATTTGGGGAAGCTGGGTTAATGGGAACATGAGAGTACACAGGTATAGACAGAGAGAAGGAAGAAGTAAGATGTCCCCCGACAAACTAAGCCTATATCAGCAAAACTAGGGGCTGGATCTAATCAGCCCGAACTATAAGCTTTATCATAAAGGAAGGTCTTAAGCGCACTCTTAAAAACGGATAGGGTGTCTGCCGCCCGAACACAAACTGGAAGCTGATTCCACAAATGTGGAGCTTGATAAGAAAAGGCTCTGGCTCCCATTGTACTTTTAGAGACTCTAGGAACAACCAACAACCCTGCATTCTTGGAACGCAATGCCCTAGTAGGACAGTAGGGTATAATG